TCTGCTGCCTCCTCCCTGATATGCTGCATATCACACACACAGGCTACCTGTTCCACTTGTGGCACACCTGCTGCAGGTTGGCCACCCCTGCACTACTCCTTCCCAAACTACTTGGTCAACACTTTGCTCTTAAGGTGCGGTCACTTTGCTATAGCCCAATCCTGTGAAGCACTAAGCACCTCTTGAAAGGGGCTGAGCACCTTCCACTCCTTTAACCTTTGCAGGATTTGATTTACTACTCTTGGAAGAAGAAATCACCATTAGCTGCTGTGCAGGGTTGTAGAGTCAGCTGTCAAAGCCGTATGTTCCTGTGTGGGAGTGTGTGTCGGGGGAGGGCAGCTCCCTTTGCTCTAAAAGCATGCCCACAATGAATATGGATGGTCATCCATCAATGTATTTTAAGCACATTACTTCTCTGTTAAAGAAAAGAAAGAGAGGAAGGAGGAAGAAGAAGAAGAAAAGGAAAGACATAAAATTAGGGTTGTGTCACTCACTTAACATTGCAGTTTCCCAAGAGGATCACGCTCCAAACAAGGATAGCAAGCTCATGAATATTAATTATTTTCCGGAATGCAATGCAGTCTTCAAACAATAAGATTAAGGGAGAATGCTACACTTAAAGGGTAGGTAATGAGACAGGTAAAGGAGGTTCCAGCTGGAAGGGGAATAGGGAATGACAGCTCCCAATTTGTAGCAAACCCATGAGCGGTTACCAAGGATAAGTTGAAAAGAGGTGTTAGAGGGGACATTAGTGACTTAAAACCTGCCCTCCTCTTTCACCCTTTGAAGCCACTACTGTTGCATCTAGATGCTTAATATCATTTTGTCCCTTTTCTTCTAATTTGTTTCCACTGGTCAGCATGGAGACCCTGATCCAGCATGTTACTTAAGCATGTACATAATTATTACAAGCGCAGGAATACTTCAGTAGAACTGCTTGTGCATGCTTATAATTACAAGCCGTCTGCAGTGCTTCGTTGAACTGAGGCTGTAGTTTATAAACACTTGTCTTTATTTATGTGGGCCTCTCTCCCCCTGAAATGAAATATAATCTAAAATATATATAAAATAATAAAATTCCAACAACAACAACAACAACCATGATGTAAAAGAACAGAAACTAAGCAGCAGACACAGAGGTTGGGATAGGACCTGAAAATCTTTTTAAGTCTTTTTTTAAATTTGCCTATCTATCTTCTGTAATATCCTTTCATATTGCCTTTCCATTGGATTCTTTGATATTTATCTCTGTGTCTTTTCTATTATATCCTTCTCTTTCTTCAGGAATGAAGAGTTACATCAATGCACAATGAATATGACATACACAACCGGAATGAAAATTAATACATTCATGCATACATACATATAAATATACACATGCATTCTTATAGATGCATGTTTAAAATATGTATTTTTGTGCATGTGAGGATAAATATAAGGAGATGGGGGCTGCATTAGAGCAGACTAGTCACGTGCATGTTTATTTGCTGCTCCTCAAAAAGGACCTTAAAGTAGGAATGGAAAAAGGCAGCAGGTCCCCTTACTGACCCTTTCAACTTATGAGTGCAGAGGATTTTCATTAAGTTTTAAAAGAAAAGATTCAAGCTGCCATCTTTAGGACCTTGGTTTAAATCTGGCTCTGATCCCTGGTGAGGAAAAATCATTGCCACGCTGTGAATGTTCAGAGCAATAGATTTCCATCAGCTCCAACAGAACAGGTGTCTGTGTCACAATGGAGAAAGCTTTAGGTTGCTTTTCTCCTGTAGTTTGCAGGGTGATGTTTATTAACAAAAGAGGTGGGACTTTTCCTCTGGGATTAAATTCCAAGTCCTGTGGAGGGGGCGGGAGGAGGAAGGTTTCCATGTGCAAAAATCTTCAATGCAGTAACCTATGCTTGTAGTCATAAATACTATCATTCAGGCTGGAGAAGATTTGCTTACATTGCAGCATTATATTTAAAAGAAAGTATTGCCAGATGTTCTAATGAATTAATTAATGTATTCCAATGCTGCTCTTCGGTTTGGTGGAAGGAATAAAAAGCTGTTAAGCTTATCTGTTTTCTTTTCTCTGCAATGTTCTGGGAAGGCCAGGACAGCCTGACAGTAAAGACCACACAGTTTTCTCCCCTGCCTCCCTCCTTTTTTCAACACCCATCCCATGAGAAAGCAGACTGATCCAGATTTATCTGATTATAAAGAAAAGGGTGAGGGGAAACAAATCAACCAACAAACAAACAAAAAGACCTAATACAGTTATAGGCATGGGTGCAAAGTGTCCTCAGAGCTGTAGGTCATGTACCCAGAACACTGTGGACTGGTCAGAGTAAAAGAAATTTAAAAGACATTGATGGAGAGGCAAAGCAGCAGGCCTAAAACTGGAGGGTGTTTGCTTGCATAATTGTATTTCTGTTCTAGCAAATGAGGTTAGGTTGGTGGTCCCTATCTAGGTGTGAGTACACATGCTCCCACCTTCTGTTAAGCCTTTTATCATGGAGACCTCACACTACCTTTTAATTTGGATAATGCAGTCCATATGTGTAGTGATTACTCCCTATCATTTGGGGTCCAAGCCTGTAAATCCTTACTGCCAAATGTAGCAATTGCAACACTGATTAGGTTGGCTAGCTTCTGCAGAAATCTTTGGGTACATCTATGCCCGAGAAAAGAAATGGCATGCTCAAACCCCCATACCCAAATTCAGCAAAGTACATAAGCATGTGATCAACTTTGTTTACTGAGGCCTTAGAGAGCTAAATATTATAAAAGGAGTATCAGTATGAAAATGACACAATGTGAAATGATTATTCATTATCTCAGAGGGCCATAATGTGTGGTAGTTTCATAAACTCAGAGAAAAATTAAATATTTTATTCTGCCTTCTTCATTTCTTGAATTATGGTCCAGTCACATAATAATTTCCCAAGCAATATGTCCCACCGAGGTCAAGGAAGAGTTTTATTTGACAAAGGCAACAGATCCAGTTTGATGTTATCAGGCTTTCAAGATGGTAACTTCCTACTTCCTCCTTAATATTGATATATGCATAGTAATACAGCCTCCCCAATGTTTTAGTGGTTTCTGATAAGATTTTATCGTGTGTTGAAATAGCCTTTATAATCAGGACTGTCTGAAAGACAGATGTTGCATCTGTTCAGGTTCTTATGGCATTCATTGCTAGTGATCCCAAGGCATAAATTCAACAGGGCCTAACTAGATCCTCAATGGTATTACGACACAAGCTCCCATGGAGTTGTCTATATACCTTTCAGGAGCTGGGCCTGTTTGTCCTGTTTCCATTTACTTTAGCCTGTTTTTTTCAGATTCCTACTGAATCCACATTTCAGAAACAACTGGGTTCGATCTTGATTTCTTTTTAACTTAGACTCTTTGCAAAGACATAAACTTCCACTTTATTCCTGCTTTACAGAAAGTGAACAGCGTTTCACCTTCTTTGAAAACTACCTGTCCTTTACAGGCAAAATAAACTAGAAGCAAGATGGAAAAACTATTTCATTTTAAATTGAAATGAGAACACTTGATTTGTATTTTATTGTGTTCTTTGCACAAATGGTTGGAGGACAAAGTGTCTCCAAACTTCCCTATAGCTTGAGACAAGCCATGGAGTTGTGATAAAAAAGCATTTCATTATTTCATTTCTGGTTTGGATTGAAAATGCCAAAATATCACAAGAAATACTTTTGCATTTTTGAGACCCTGATTCTACAAACTGATTAGAGAAGTGCATAACTTTAAGCAGGTTTAAGTCCTACAATTTAATACAAATATTCCCATTGACTTCCAACAGGGTTACTCACCTGCTTAAAGTTACAAGGATTGTTTTGTTTTTTTTGGTGATATGTTACTGGATTAACTGTATAGTTGGGAGAGATGTCAGACAAACTTTTGCGTGCAAATGGAAGGGTACTTTGTGCCTGAAAGCTTGTCTAACATCTCTACCAGCTGCACAGTTGGTTCAATAAAAGATGTCACCAAAACCCCTTGCTTCTCACATATTTCTTGGACCATCATGGCTACAAGAGTACTCCGTCCCTACTTAAAAGCTACACTCATGCTTAAGTGCTTTGCTGAATCATGACCTTAGGTCCTATGATGGAGGCTGCTATAGACAATTCTTCAGTATGTTAGCTAGACTATGGCTAGGTAGATTGCTCTCCTGGTCATTCTGGACAGAACCAGAACATAACATTTTTCTGAGAAAAATCAGGGGGGGGGGGTGTTGTGATTTGCAGCCTAATTTTTTAGATTCAGGAAGTGCTTTTTGAAAAAGCATCCACTCCAAACTCTCACTGAGGTCTATCCCAGCCCTAGGCTATAATGCAATTCTATGATACAGGAGCATAACACAGATGCTATAGCATAGATGGGGCTTCACTTGCCCACCTCCTCACTGCCCAGCTTTCTTCAGGAGATGTTTAATAAATATGTAAAGCTTGTAACTGCAACCCTGCCCTCTCCTGACACCTTGAGCATCTTCCGGCCATTGTGTTTATAGTCCTTGCTAATCAGGGCAAAGCAGGCTTGCAAAAGAAATCTGATTAAGCAGTTTTCACCTCCGAAAAAGGGGATTAGCTGGACCTTTGATCCTCAGATATCGATTTGCATCTCAAAGGAGGTGTGACCTCAGCTGGGCCTGCTTCTTCTCCCCATCCCTTCCCCTCA